AGGGGGCGCGCGTGCGTCGAGTCGACGTTTTGTCGATTCGTCCTAGGAAATAGGTCGAACAGACGTCACCCCCGGCAGCCCACCCGAGACCGCTACATTCACAGCGATGCCTAAAAAAAAAAAATGTTGATTCTTGAATTGAATCACACCCCGCTCCCCCCATCCCCGCCACCCCCCTAGAGTCGGCAGGTGGACGCCACGTGAACAAGGTTGGCAGACAGGCAAACGCCCATTCTGCCATGCTGATGATCGCTAACAACGGTGAAACGCAAAGGCAGTTCAAGGTGCCGGGGCGCGGCTCGGCGTCGCGTTTGGCTTTCCCCTTTTGAAGCGTTGCTAGCGGTGGTAACACCGACAGGCCAATGTAGAGCCACGTTACTGCATCACGCAGGGGCTATTGGGCCAAGCGGGGGGGCGTGTTTTTGCCATGCGCCGCCGCCACCCCCCCCGCCACAAACTCGTGACCACCGTCAACCAACCTCCATAGAAACGTTTTGTGCTTAAGTTCATAAAGCCGGCCGCAGTTTTGTGCGATAACCGTTGAGGTTCGTCGGTAAAACCCACGTGAGTTTTTTTGCGCCAGGGGGTGGGGTAACCCGCTACGGCCCACGGAGGAGACTCCACGACTTCCGTTGCAAACGGCCCCCCCACTCCCCACCCACCACCGCGGGGGTGGCCACAAGAGGACTCGCTGCAAATGACAACAGCGGCGTCACCCCCCAGCAGCGTGGGTGCGCCGATCGCGAAGGAGAGGGGAATATTTGACGACCTGGCAGGGTCGCGTTTCTAAATTTCGCCGCGCCTCGGTCACCCGTAAAAGGTGAGAGCCAATCATATTTCGCGTTTGATAACGACGAGGTGGAAATGTGTGGTTGATCGTGAAAAGGTTTGACGTACTTCAGACCTCAAGAGGTAACTCGTCATCGAGGGCTTTCCTAACCTCCAGGCATTAGTCCCCCAGACTCGTCGGTTTACCAATCATCTGACGCGCGCGGCGTGTTCGACAAGTTCAGTTTCGAGTGGTGGGGGCGCGAGGACCGTAGTTTGCAACAACAACAAAAAACAAGCGCCGAGAGGGTTGATCCCTTCTCCTGTTTACTGTGGAATATCCACTCCTGAGCCAGGAGTGGATATTCCACATTCCCATGGTGGGGGGCCAGACTGTGGTACGGGTTTATTGACTCCCAAAGGGGCGATGGGCAGAGGCAAGTCAACCCCCCCCCACCGACCTGGATTTTAACCCCAAATGGATCGGATCGGTTACAACCACTGTGGCAATACGGAGTTCGTTTTTGCACTAATTCGGCCGTCCGTCGATACGCGACCCCACCGAGCAATGCAACCACTCGGCGCTTATTTCACCGCCGCGTGAGGCTTTCACGGCATGGCTCCGGCAAGCCATCGCCACGTGCTGTTTCTGCACGATGTCCCCACGATATCCCCGCTCCAGATCACGTCGTATGCACTCTCAAATGACGGCAAACACGCGTGCGTTCTGGAAACGGGAAAATTCGAATGTAGCTTATAGATTTTGCGGCGAAGAATCGCCCGTCCCAGTGCCCCTTTTGTTCCTCAAAGTTCGCCGCGGAACGACGGACAAAACAGCTTCGGATAAACAGCGACACTGCGCGCTGTGTGCGTGCCGTGTAAAACGGCCGGACACGCAAATTGCACTTTAGAAATGTTGATATACAGAATGATTGATTGATTGATTGGATCCTCGTTTGAGGGAGTAAGTCAAGTGGCGGTTGCGCGAGTCCGTGCCAAACCAAGCAGAACAGAAGCCAGAATCGGCACGGCACCACGAGTTCCCGTTAAGGACTTGAAACCTGCCGCAGCATTGCTTTCAGCTTTTGAAATCTCTGGACCACGACTTTTTTTTGGTGTTTCTTTCAAGTGAAATGTCAAATGTTCCCTCCCCTATGTCGATGGGACCTTTTTGGCAGTATCTAAACTGATGACTTTGCACTGTCTTTGTGCTGTTCACCTTTTGGCGTTCTCTGGTCTGACACCGGTGGTGAGACAAGGCCATAAAAACAGGGGTGGGGAACCTTTTTTTCTGCCAAGGGCCATTTGGATATTTATATGACATCATTTGTGGGCCATACAAAATTAAATTTATGTTGCGATGAAAAAAGCTCCTAGATTTATTGAATTTTAAGTCGTGCGGTTGCCTTGGCAGGGCAAGACGTTCCCCACCCCTGCCATAGAGAATGCTGCCTCTGGTGTAGGCCAATCAGTTTCAAAGACAATATATTATGAGAGAATGTTTTGCCACAAGTACGTGTGGTTAATGCAGACTTTGATGCCTTGCAAAAGGCATCTATTTAGTGCTTGAACAGCTAAACGCCCGTCTTCTCTCCCCCTGTTTGTGACCCTGAGCCAGCTGTGGAAATTTCCACATTGCCATGGCGGGAGCGAGAGAGACGATATCAAATTCGGCAACAACAACAACGGCAGTAACGTTGAACATTTGAAACTTGCGCAACAAAAATCAACGAATCAGACAAGCCATGAGAAATGAACAATTTTTGAAATGTGATTTGGGAACGACGCGGCGTGAAAGAGACCGTGAGAACGAACGCGGCTCGCCGCTGAACGCCCCAGAACATAGGACACAACAGCGCAGAAGAGCAGGGCTGGTGGGGGGGGGGGGGGGCGGGGAGGACAGTGGCCGTCGGTTGCTGGGGCAATTGCAGCGTCGCCCCCGGGGGTTTGCCGGCTGTGGGGATTGGCGGAGCAGAGAGCCGAGTAGCCGAGCGTGCAGGGGAAGCAGGCGGCGTGGTGCGGAGGCTGACGGTGCGGTACCACACGGCGGAGCGACGCTTACCGCCCCAGCAATGTCACACGCAGTGCCACGGGGCAATGCCAGGCAATGCTAGGCCATGTATCGCGCATTCCTAGATAATACCATGCGCTACTTTGCAATACTAGGCATTATTTGGCATTACAAGGCAATGCCATGCATTTGCTAGGGGCATTGCTTGGCAATGCCGGGTAGTGCGAGGCAGTACTGATCAATGCCGGGTGGTGTCGTGCCAGGCTGGGTGTCCCTCACAGGAGCCAGGAGAGCGGCACCCAGTTGTGCGTCTCCCCGGCGGTGCGCACGGCGCTGGCGATGAGGGCGGCGCTGTCGTGCGTCACCTCGTTCACCACGACGAGGTCGACGAGGTGCATCACCGAGGCCTGCAGCTCCCGGGACTCCGCCTGCACGCGCGCGTGGCGGGTGGGGGGGGGGAGGGGATGCCCAGAATTAACCACCGCGGCCACCTGTGTTTAACCGCCAGGGAAAGTTGAATCGATCACCGCACGGACCTTTAATTCGCTGTTTCTACCGTATATAAAGTTCGCACCGTTCCTGCTGTACATCTGTTCTGCCTGGTTTGTGCTGTCCATCTAGTAAGTATTGTCCATCTCGAACCGTTCCGTTTGTACTGTCCATCTCGCTAGCTCCATTAGCCGATAGTTATCATTTGGGTAGACTCTGAAGGATCTATTCTCGTGGACAAGAATCAATAATGAAATCTGTAAATGACGAGAAAAAGCCATAATCATAATGGTATAATAGTCCGGGCGTGGTAAACCACAAGTTTCCAACCACGCACAGACACGCGTAACACACACACACGACCTCTGTGCATTATGCAAAAACCATCAGCAGTTCCTGACAAAGTGCACTATGGTCCTGTTGTCTCGGTCGATGGTGTCGCATTCGTTCAAAAGTATTTTGATGCCCCGGTGGCGAGATGCCATCTCCCTCGCCTGGTATGCAGGAGGTCGTGGGTTCGGTTTGAACCCTGACACCTGCTATATGCTATATATTTCTAATTTGCATGTTTCTCTCTCCCCGTGGTGGCGTGGAATTTTCTCCGGGTCCTCCGGTTTTTCCCTCCACATTTAGAAACATGCCCTTGGAGTATTTGGCTTTTATAAATTTCCACGTGATAAGCCACTTCGTTGAGCCTATCATTTGTGATAGCCAGGTCGCTTGTGAAAAAGAGCTACGTAGCTCAGTGGGCATTACCTGGTGAAATAATACCATACCTTGCAGTTCTTGAGTCATTTGAAACACGAGATGCAATGTTTGATATTTACTTAACCCTCGTTCGCCCTGGAGCCACTACAATATCCCTTTCACTTAACACACACACGCACACAATGCAAACCTGCAAGAACTCCTCTCTAGCAGCTACGCGATCACGTGACTCGTGGGGGTGCGGTCACGTGACTCGTGGGGGTGCGGTCGAGTGACTCGTGGGGGTACGGTCGAGTGACTCGTGGGGGTACGGTCGAGTGACTCGTGGGGGTGCGGTCACGTGACTCGTGGGGGTGCGGTCACGTGACTCGTGAGGGGTGCGGTCGAGTGACTCGTGGTGGTGCGGTCACGTGACCCGTTGGGGACTGGTCACGTGACGCCTGGTACCTGGAAGGCCTCGCCGATGCTGGCTGGTGGAGCCACGAACACGACGAAAGGCGCAAAGTCGGGCGAGCGTAGAACCTTCAGGGCCTGGGGGCATGACAAGCAACTCCAGGTCAGGGACCAGGGGGTCGACTGACCCTCACTCACTCGCTTGCTCACTCACAAAGTCAAGCAGAATCTCTGGAATAAAATTCAATTGAATTTGCGCTTTCTTACAGCACGAGGCTACCACGAAGGTGCTGTGTTTCACAGAAGAGTATTAGTCTGCTGTAGTGTTGGTATGGGGCTTTTACCCGATGAGGTAAAATGATAGTTTTCGTGTCTAGACCATGACCCCAGCACACAGTGCCTTCGAGTAACGTCATGGGATTCTGAACGTCAACTTTTAAACAGTGGCACTATTAACCAGGGCGGTCGCTGGGTTCAGACCAAGAATCATCTGTATATGAACAGCATACGTGCGGGGAGAGTACTTTTTTATATTTTGTGACATAAATGCAATTTTTTTATATTTTGTGATATAAATGCAATTTTTAAAAATATTTTGTGACAAATGCAATTTTTTTTATACGAGAGACCACCTAGGACAGCACGCAGCATACAAAGGTAACTGGTTCATGGAATTCCATGCAATAAAGATGCACAGCTTCAGATTGATAGCCCACATAGGCAATCTCCTACATACGCACCCTCCATCTTTCTGCTCGCAGGAAGGGACATGACATCATCATATACAGGAAGTGATCCGATTTAAGGAATCTCACGAAGCACACAGGAAGTGACCTTGCATGCTATGCACAGGAAATGACCTCACACCACGCACATTCATTTCACATGGTCCACAAAGGAAGTGACCTCACACACTGTGCACAGGAAGTGACCTCACACAGTGCAAGCAGGAAATGACCTCACACAGCGCACGCAGGAATTGACCTCGCACTGCGCGCGCAGGAAGTAACCTCACACGGCGCCCATAGGAAGTGAGCTTATGGCTGGTACACAGGGCAGCGCTCACCTGCGGCTGCACATCGAGCACGCACACGGCGTCTCCCTGCATGATGTCACGCACACACTGGAGGCGCAGGCCCAGCATGGCCTCTCCGTGGTTCCCGTACTCCACCATCTCCCCACGCGTCACCCACCCACGCATCTCCACGTCCGACACCAGCTGATACGGGCCGGGATCTTGCGCGGCCCCACCCGCCGTTCCTGGTGCTGCCCCTGCCCCGGAGTTGGGGGCAGCGTCGCCGTTCGGAGAGGTCGGGTGCTCCGTCGTGTCTGAGGGAGTGAAACGAGTTCGGGGAAAAAATACTTGACCGATCCGCTTGCGTCAACGCAGCGAGCCCGTTGGCGGTTCTTTGACAGTTACAGTCTGGTCGCCGATGGGCTCTGCACCAGAGATGCCGCCTGTCCACTTGCGGAGTGATCTCCCTTCCCCAGATCTATCCCGATTGCGCAATGAGCAGTGCGTCTTCGCGAGCCAACTAACCCATTTGGAACTCTCGCAGAGGGCAGCGCGACCCTTTGCGTCAGTGAAACTTGCCCGTGGAAGTGGATGTCGCAGAGCTTCCACCATTATCCTTTCATCATGTGACCTCTGTTCCTACACGCGAGGCGGGCGCTAAACTCTCCTACACACACCGTGTGAGATGCATGTTCAAATAAAAAATGAATGTGACGGTTCTTTTGTGCAGTCGTAAGCGACCGGACTGACAACGCCTGACGGTCTAATCACCTGGGGGCCGATGAAATCGGAATCCAAACTCGGCATCTCAGCAGTGCCGGCTCCACATCTCCTAAGCAACCGGGCCCCACTCGGCGTCGCCCGCAAACCAACCCATAATCTCGCGTTCCCCACCGCCACGGTGGCGAGATGTTAACTCACCCGCGCCTGATATGCAGGAAGTAGTGGGATTGATCCCAACTCACGACGGCCATATATTTGGAGTTTGCATGTTCACTCTCCCCGTGGTCTCGTGGATTTTTCTACGGGCCCTCCGTTTTTTCCCTCCGCATTTGGCATCAACATGCATTTAGAGTATTTGGCTGCTATAAATGTACACATGATAAGCCACTTTGTTGATCTATCATTTGTGGCCAGGTCGCATCTCAAAAAGAGCTATATAGCTCAGTGGGGCCTTACCTGGTAAAATAAAAAAATATTTAGTTTAGTTTGGTAGAGTAGTCCCTCAGTTAACAGCGACATCGGTTCACAGTTTTTCGGTTAATATTTCCGCCCCCCAAAGGACTCCATCGTTTCGACTAATTTTTACATTTTGATTAACGGTATGTTTACTTTACGCACGCGGGTGCCAATTTCAGCCAATCCGAGCGCTCAGAAGTGGGCTGAGCCATGCCCTCAGCCAATCAGCGACACCCATTTATGAGCTTTAGGCCTCGACTGGCTTTATTCACATTACGTTTTGTGCGTTGGCAGCAGAAACAGCTCTCTGGCAGACTCTTGGAATGGATTAATGCTATTAACATGTAATTCCATATTCGATTCATAGTAATTTCAGTTAAAAGTAGCTTTCGTGGCACCGAATTAAAAACGTTTACCGAGGGACTACTGTATCTGTAGGCAAGGCTCATTACTCACAGAGCATCGGAGTCTTGAACGTGTCAGGGTCGGTGGAGAGCAGTACGGACTTAATATGACTCCTGCCGACACCGGGAGCTCCTGGGGGGAGTGGGGAGGGGGAAAGAGAGAGAGGGGGGGGGGCAGTCAGGCATAGGCAGAGAGGAACAGAGGAAGGGTTTATGAGCCTGACGTCGCAGCAAGCGAAATATCCGTGGGTTGCGCTCATCTCACCCAGCAGCACGAGGGTTCTCCGTGGGAACGGAGGAAGCTTGACAACCTCCTCGTACGATAGCGTGTCCAGATCGTCGAACACTGCGCACCGCACCCGCACGGACAGAAAGCAAATATAGAGTGGGTGAGCGAGCAGGCAAGGACAGACACGCAGGCGAGACAGCGAGTGAGTAAATGAGTAGGTGAGTGAGTAAACGCGCAGGTGAGCGAGCAAATGATGTATGCACGTTGAGCTTCTTTCGGACAGTACGTAACCAACCGTGCTAATCAGTTGGCGCTGTACAGCGAGGGCTAGGTGCGTAAGCAAGTGCGGGAGTAGACTTCGCAGGTGAGTGGGTGACTACACGCAGGTGAGTGGGCGGGTAGACTCGCTGGTGAGTGGGTGGGTAGACACGGAGGTGAGTAGATGAGCGAGTGGGTGGGCAAGGGCAGTTGTACCCGAGCAGTGCTGGGCCATGTAGGGTCCACGCAAGCCTTTGGCCCGGATCAAACCCAGGAAGCTGGACTTGGGCTGAGGCTCGACAGGGTTGGAGCTCACGCTGTTACTGAGAGAGACAAACAAGACAAAGACCCCCCGTGTAGCCTTTAATGGACCATTGGGGCAAGTGCTGTGAGCGAGCGCCTTCGGAGGGCCGACACGTCCGCGTTTGGGGTGCCGCGGTGGCGAGAATTCCCTCGCCTGGTACGCAGGAGCTCGTGGGTTTGATCCCGACCCTGACGCCTACTGCTGTATGTTTAGATATTGGGCGTGTCTCTCTCCCCGTGGTTACGTGGATTTTTCTCCGGGTCCTCTGGTTTTTCCCTCCATATTTATAAACGTGTTTTTAGATTATTTCGCTGCTATAATTTGCCACGTGATAAGCCACTTAGTTGGGCTATAATTTATGGTGCTTATGAAAAAGAGCTATATAGCTCAGTGGGTCTTACCTGATAAAATCCAAAGAAAATGGTTTAGTCTCCCCAATGCTGATGTTTTCACACCATACCAGGTACTTATTTTAAGACCGAGTTGACCTCGATTGTGCCCAGGTCCGGTTCAGATATTTCTCGACACTAACGTTAGCTATGGCCAGGAACCAATCTAAGGCTGTGGGGGTCCGTAGCACAGTGTGCAAATCGTTGCACCACCACTCCCCGCATTCACACACACAACAGAAGCCAGTTATATTCCAACCCAGTCCTGGGGCCTTCCCGAGGTCGACGCAGCCTTCAATGAGTATGCGGTGCGATGTGTGTAAACATCAGCACTGAGAAGATTAAGGTGGCCTGGAGTGTTTCTACCACCCCACTCGTAGTCCATGCGGTCTTTATAGGCAAATGTTATCAGCACTTGGCTCAACAGTTTATAGAAGGCTATATGGTCGGAGGGGGGGGGGGATTTTTCTGCGTGCAAGTCTGAATCTGTTGGACTGTACCATTCCACCAGGTCTCGGGAGGGTATCATCCCGGTCGAACCATCTTCCTTCTCCCCCTCCCACCTGCAAAACAAGTTGATTTAGAACATTCGTTATAAGAGTCCTCACGTCTGTGCGTGTGTGTCTGTCCGTATGTGTGTGTGTGCACGTGATTGTGTGAAACAGTGACGATTATCTGAACCGGTCCTGGGTCTCCCCTAGGTCTACTCAGCCTCAAATGAGTACCATGTGCAGTGTGTAAACATCGCCACTAGAGAGACAAAGGCGGCCGGGCGTGGTGTTGGCCACCCACCCCCTCGTGTGCTGTGCCAGCCTTCATAGGTGCTCGCTAACAGCACTTGCCCCAACAGTCTGACGAGGTAAGCGAGGTATTAGTGGCGACTGGCGGATAATATTTATTCAGATATGTCTCTAGTCTGTGGTGAAGATGCGTTATATACTTGTGATTATCTACGTGGCTTTACCGAAGTGTCTCTCTGTCCCTGTCTGCGTGTCTATACATGTCAGGTCACGCTCAACCCATCTGCAATATGGCGTTTCCCCCCCTCGCCCCGGATTCCAGTGCTGGTATTCTCATATGCCCATGACAAGCGCCGAGGTCCGTACACACACAACCACTGTTAGACGATCCACAATATGGTAACTGCTTTTATCTGCCCCTTGGGGATACTCTCTGCCAACCTGGAGTAGAGGCACATTTGGGTCGTTTCATGTCAACTCACTCGGGGTCCAAAATCTGACCACCTCCAATGGCCTGTAATGTTGAACTTGAAAAACATATTATGTTTGCAATGACCCATAACTTGTAAGCCGCTGGACCCAGTGACCCCCCCATTTTGAAGCTGTATCGTGTCTCCCTGTTACCCACAACCATGCCAAATTTATATTCTTGGTTCTTTCGGTAAAGTCACGTAGAAGGGAAACAATAAAATAAAAAAAAATACAAATATAAAACAATACAATTCTCACGACGTTTCGACTGCAACACAAGCAATCATCATCAGGTGTGAAACCCACAGCAAGAAAATTTGAATATGAATCCCTGCAGTCACGAAAGCTTTAAATCAAAATCATGCCAAATTTGTTCACGATTGGACTTGGTCACATATTTGTTTTCAGTGATGTCATGCGAAAATTACCCAGATTATAAAACAACACTCAACACATTCGTCAGCAACATTGCAGCCTCAATTTATACGAATAGGCGATGTTTCAGGCAATGGTCCTTTATCAGAGCAAAAACACAGAGGCCCGGAGAGAGATGGCGTGGATGATACGAGTTGGAGACTGCACTTGTTAACACTATGGTGTCCTGATGAGAATTACAATTTTAGAAATGTTCCGTGGTGACAAGTTTCAAAATTACCATGTGTATAGTTACACCGATGGTCGCCATTAGGCAGCTCGATTACATAAACACCCAGAGGAACCACCTGCCAGGCAGGACAGCAGAGCCGGTTTAAATCGACATTGCAGGTGACGGGATGTCTCAATTTGGATAGCGAACTCGTTGTACTTGAAATTTGCTCAGATTTACGTCACGCCCCGCTCTGCAGCCCTCTTTGTCGAGCTCCACTCTCATGTGCTGCCGCCCACGGACGTCGCGATGGCCAGGTCGCGATGGCCAGGTCGCGATGGCCAGGTCGCGATGGCAAGGTCGCGATGGCCAGGTCTCAAGCAGAACCTGAAGACAGCCAATGTTTTCGCCGCCAAGTTTCCGCCTCTGGTTTCTCCAATCCAATGTTGGGAGAACATCTTATAACATCGCCGTGAATAACATTGGCCGAAGTGCAGATAAGCAGGTGAGTGAGGGGGTGAGTCAGGTGAGTGAGTAAACACGCAGATAAGAGAGTGGTTGAGCAGGCGAGTAGACATGCAGTGAGCGAGCGGATACGCAGGTGAACAAGCAAGTGGTTTGACAAGCTATGAAATTTGGATCAAAATTCTGACGGGCAGCGACCAAATAAACTGGAGCAAAAGCCTGAAAGTGCGCAAAGCACTATTTTTTTAAAACTACTTTTTTGTTTTAACCAGGTAAGGCCCACTGAGCTATATAGCTCTTCTTCAAACTTGACCTGGCCATAAATGATAGCCCAACGAAGTGGCTTATCATGTGGACATTTACAGCGGCCGAATTCTCTACAGGCATGTTGATTATAAATGTGGAGGGACAAACCGGAGGCCCTGGAGAAAAATCCACGCGATTATAGGGAGAGAGGCATACAAACTCCAAATATGCAGGAGGCGTCAGGGTCAGCATCAGACACACGACCTCCTGTGCACCAGGCGAGGTGGCTAACATCTCACAGCCACCGTGGCCGCCGGGAGCTACAGATTCGGTTCGTGCACGCGGGAGCCCGGCGGCTGGCGGGGTCTGGCGGCTGCGACGACGCGGGGAGACCTCCATCCAGCAGTGGAGACAAGGTTAGCGACAGGCTCACCAGTCCCACTTGGCACGCGACTTGACGCGGAGGACGTCGCCGCTGCGGAAGGCGAGGCCGTTGTGGGGACGGTTCAGGACGCCCTGCGCATTTGGGTCGAAGTTGAACTGGGCACGCACGAACGTCTGGGTGCAGGAAAAGCCGCGGAGGGGTGGGTGGGTGGGTGGGTGGGGGGGAGAGAGATTCACAATGGCCAGGTCAGATTAAACGTTCACGAAGGCCTCGTCACAGTCACCACACCGGCACCGACAGACGTGACGTGAACCATTTGGGAGGAAGCGTGAAGGGTAACGCTGACGCAACCGCTGACGCTAAACCCAGACTTATTTTAACCCCCGGCCGTGTAGCAGAGGCCGAATCCTAACGCTCGAGTCTGATCCTAACACTCACCCTAGCCCGAACTCTAGTCCTTGCCACAACCCCAAACAATAACGCTAACCTTAGCCAACTAACCCGAGCCTCGACTCTAACCGTAACCCCGACACAAACCCTGACCCAATTCCCTAACCCCAACTCCTACCCCCGTAACAACCCGATCCAAAGTCCCTAACCCTTTACCCAACTCTAACATTATAACTGGCCCTTAACTCAAACCATAACGCTAACTTGGTTGGCTACGTGCAGTGCGAAAGAAGTTCAGCATACACACACATACCATACAAAACTCCAACCTTGACCCTAACAATGGCACTAGCTTTTTTAAGCTCAGCCCTCCAGCCCTAAACCTAACCCCTAGCACCGACTCCTTCTGCAACCTCTTCTCTGACCTTACCACCAAGGTGACCTTGACTTTGACCCCCTGTGACCTTGACACCCCCCACCTCCACCCCTCTTACCTGTACAGCACGTGCCCTGCACACCTGAGTCACGTGGTCCAGGTACAGCTCCGACAACTTCGCCGACGTCATCTCTAGGAGGGAGACACGGGGACAGGGACAAGAGGGTCGGAGACGAGCAGACACCGAGATAGAGAGACACGCGGACTGACACGCAGACACGGAGGGAGGCGAATCAGACGGACACGGAGACCAGCGGACAGACACAGCCAGACACAGTGACGAAGCCAGGCAGGCGAGGACACGCGGGGGACACACGGGGACACGCGGAGACACGCCGGGGGACACGCAGAGACACGCGGGGGACACGGGGGACACGCAGAGACACGCGTTACATACCTCCTCGTGTAGGTTCCTTCAGTTTCAACCTCGCCGCCGGAGTCGAAAGTCCGCGGACGCGCTGTTAAAATAAACAAATAACGAAAACAGCCGCGTCTTTAAAATGTGTTTTTTATTTTAAAAACGTTCCTACTTTTCCTTATCGTCGCGGCGGACTTTGTTCCGAGATCGCAATAATGCGAAGAATAATAAAATAATATAGCCCTCGCCGCCGATACCAACCACCCCTTGAATTGACTGGAAGCGATCCCAGAGCGCTGAGTCAGCGGAACGGGCGAGTCCATCTGGGCCAGAACGACGGGTAAAGGGGGGGAGGGTGGTGGTTAATAACCCCGTAATAAGTAAATTAACATATTCCTGTTTTATATATACTTTATTATTTTATTGTTTCCCTTCAACGTGACTTTGCCGAAAGAGCTAAGAATATGAATTACTGCAGTCACGAAAGCTTTAAATCAAAATATTCCTGGTTCTTTAGGTAAAGTCACGTAGATGGGAAACAATAAGATAATGAAAATATAAAACATAAAAAAAATTATCACGACGTTTCGACTGCAACACAAGCAATCATCATGATCACCTGATGATGATAAAATAATAAATATATAAAACATTAGAATTCTCACGACGTTTCGACTGCAACACAAGCAGTCGAAACGTCGTGAGAATTTTAATGTTTTATTTTTTTAATGGTTTTATTGTTTCCCTTCTACGTGACTTTGCCGAAAGAACCAATAATATGAATCCCTGCAGTCAGGAAAGCTTTAAATCAAAACTCAACTAACGATAAGGTCGATGATTCGGATGAATTAAAAGGAGTTGGCTTGAAGCGTTGACAGCTGTTGTTTAAATCGAAAGGAGAGCAAATGCGCTTCGGTGGCAATAGTTGTGGAGTAACTCATGCAGCCAGCTATGGCTCTAGGATTTGGTGTTACGTGTTATTTAAGTAGTTTATTGTAACAAAAAATGCGGTCACAGTCCCTGCGATCACTGTTACGTTGCCATTATGGCTTTATTTTTTGGTGATTTCGAAAACGTTTTTTTTTGGTTTGGACATGTTTGTTTTGTTGTAGTACGGAGTTAGACTTATGGCCTTAATCTAAGTTTTCTTGTGGTTGTTGTTGTTATTGTTGTTTGACTTGCATCCCACTGGGATGTTTTGCACGCAGCGTTGGTGTACGGTGCCTTTTTTTTCAGGAATATTTTTGCTGTTTTTTTTTGTCATGGATTTTCTGTTTGCACAGTCACAGTCAACACAAAGTCACTTTAAGATGTTGTTCTTGTTCGTCTTTTTTTGTTTGTTTGTTGTGGTTGCACCCGATTCAAGAGCCGAATGGCTCACAGGGCTATAGCAAAATAAATATATAAACTGAAACCGAACTGGGTGTTAGACATTTAACACACGGGCACACGCACACACCCCCCTCCCCCCTTTACCCGATGGTTGAGTCCGTGGGCGCGTGACTTACGAGCAGCTGATCGGTCACGTGACGATGTTTTCGAGCACGCGAGAGAGTGTTGGATTTCAGCGCTACGTATTATTATTAATGTTGTGCGATCCGATTTAAAGCTTTCGTGACTGCAGGGATTCATATTCATGGTTCTTTCGGTAAAGTCACCACGTAGAAGGGAAACAATAAAATATATAAAAAATATAAAACAATACAATTCTCAGCTGATGATGGTTGCTTGCGTTGCAGTCGAAACGTCGTGAGAATTTTTTTGTTTTATATTTTTTATTATTTTACTGTTAACGTCCATATTAGTTACTTTATTATTGTGATCGTTTACCCGCGAAAGCCTCACAGAGCTTCAAGAGTTTTCGCACTCGGCGACGTTTTTGCTGCTATGGGGCTGTCCATAAATGACGTCACGCACCTGGGGGGGGGGGGGGGTCAGACATGTGTGACGACGGGGGGGGGGGGGGGGTGAGAAATGTGACGTCACATAAATGCGCAACTTTAAATAAATATAGACAACACGTTCTACTTAATTAAATTGACTTTTTAATACATATTTTCTCCTACGACATCAGAGTGCAGCGCCACATTAAATACGCACTACAATGACAATAGTTTAAAGCGATTTGAAGCATGTTTTATTTGGGGGGGGGGGGGGGGGCAGAGCTTTGTGACGTCATATTTGAGGGGGGGTCTGACTTTGTGACGCCGTGTGACGAGTGGGGGCGGGGGGTCAAAAATCGTCCAAAATCGCGTGACGTCATTTATGGACGGCCCCCATATGTGTGTGTGGCTATGAGAGATGTTAACTACCTCGCCTGGTATACAGGAGATCGTGGGTTCGATCCCGACACTGACGCCTGCTACTGTGTATTTGGAGTTTGCGTGTCTCTCTCATCATAATCACGGTGGCTAGGAGATGTTAACTACCTCGCCTGGTATGCAGGAGATCGTGGGTTCGATCCCGACACTGACGCCTGCTACTGTGTATTTGGAGTTTTCGTGTCTCTCTCCCCGTGGTCGCGTGGATTTTTCTCCGTTTCCCTCCACATTTATAAACGTGCGCTTAGAGTATTTGGCTGCTATAAATTGCCACGTGATATGCCACATCGTCATTGAGCTATCCCAAATTAATCATTTGAATCATTTGCAGGCGATGTCTCGGTATTCCCATGCGATTTGCCCACTTCCTGTTTCACTGTGGGTGTAGGTTCAGCTGTGGTTTGACCACTTCCTGTTACACCGTGGGTGTGCGGTTCGCTATGGGAGAAGGAAACCAGAGAACCATGCACAACAGGTGGAGAGAACACACAGATTCCAGTTCATTTATTAGGTATAGCCCTGTGAGCCATGCGGCTCTTGACTCCGGTGCAACCGCACCAAACAAAACATGAACAAACATGAACAAACAACAGACGTGAGAAAATCTTGACTTAAAGCTTTCGTGACTGCAGGAATTCACAGACTCCACACTCGCTTAAAATCATACTCTGTCGCTCACACACACACGTCTACCGAAGAGTATGAGAGCATACAAACGCCAATCATTCACACACACAATCACGCCCACACACACACAATCACACACAAGCACTCAGCATCACACGCAAAATCACACTCATACACACAATTACGCCCACACACACACTCATTCACACACAATCACACACGTATAATTAATCACGCACACACAATCACACAATCACAAACAAAGATCCCCCGTATAGCCTTAGGCTGTTGGGGCAAGTGCTGTTCGCGAGCACCTATGTCGGCCTTCATAGGTGCTGGCTAACAGCACTTGCCCCAACAGTCTGTTAAGGCTATTCGGGGCGTCTTTGTCTTTGTTCTGATATATGTGTGTCAGCCATCCATCTGACATACGTATTACTCTCCTTGCTGCCATACGCAAGACTAGATCTCACCCTGGATCATCTTTACTGAAGAGTCATCGTGAGCCAACAGACCATTTGGTAAAGAAACACGCGGGGAACACCCTGTCCTGTGTTCTCCACATTTGTATTGCTTCATGAGGATGGAGCGGGTCTCGCACAGACACAGACGACACGAGCGACAGACGGCACGGCAATTCACGCTAATCGATTAATCGGCACACGCGCACACACACACACGGTCGAGCATCCACGGCACGCAATTCGACCGACCGAAACCCATCGGCACTCGCGGGCGTTGTAGACGGACGACCAACGGCGCGGCGGGGTAACGTCGCCACGTGGGGGTTGGGGGCCGTTCATAAATGACGTCACGCACCTGGGGGGGGGGGGGTCAGACATTTGTGACGATGTGTGAAGAGAGAGAACGGGGGGGTTGAGAAATGTGACGTCACATCAAAATGCACAACTTTAAATAAATATAAACAACACGTTCTACTTAATTAGACTTTTTAATAAATGTTTTCTACCTAACATCAGAGTGCAGCGCCACATTAAATACGCACTACAATAGTTTAAAGCGATTTGAAGCATGTTTTATATATTTTTTGGGTGGGGAGGGGGGCAGAGCTTTGTGACGTCATATTTGAGGGGGAGGGGGTCTGACTTTTTGTGACGCCGTGTGACGAGGAGAGGGGGGAGGGGTCAAAAATCGTCCAAAATCGCGTGACGTCATTTATGGACGGCTCCTTGAGTCACTCGGCACGCAAACAGAACGCGGGTCGCCCGTCACACCGCCACTTGAACGCGGCAGCTTTAAAGCGGGGTCGGACGCATGCACGCACGCACGCGGCGGAGAGAAACGCACGACGGATCCCACCTCACCCCCTCCCCAACTCACCTTTTGTGACGTCAACAGGGGGAGTGGCGTCGTCACTGAGCTATATATAGGAGCGCTTATTATTATACGCTTTCTATTAACTCTGTCTGTTGTTGTCGTTGTATCCTCAAATCTTGTAATTAAATTTTAACCCGCTTCCCAATGTGGTATCGACTGCAAACTTGGTATACTTATGTCATACTGATGACAATACTATATTCTATCATTAAAAAATATATATTTCTAAACAATCTTTTTTATACGTTATGTTTCGGCTTGGGTCTAATTGTCCCTTACGTTATGGAAAGCTTCGGGGCCACTTCCTGGAGTCGTGGAATTTTGCCATTATGAGTACGGTACATTTCATTAAAGCGTGTTTTAAAAAAAAAGTATTTTTAAATATCACTTATAAAGTAGCGACCTGGCTATCACAAGTTAAGGCTCAAAGAAGTGGCTTATCATAATGCAGTGGTAGCACATAAGCACAAAGAAAACTCAACACGTTCCCTCTCAAAATAACACTTGTGCGGCCTTAAAACTATTTAAAAATAACGTGCGATGTATATATAGTGCTTCTGACAAACGTGTTAAGATTAGTTACTATTGTATATACAGTGAGGGAAAAAAGTATTTGATCCCTTGCTGATTTTGTACGTTTGCCCACTGACAAAGAAATGATCAGTCTATAATTTTAATGGTAGGTTTATTTGAACAGTGAGAGACAGAATAACAACAAAATCCAGAAGAACGCATGTCAAAAATGTTATAAATTGATTTGCATTTTAATGAGGGAAATAAGTATTTGACCCCTCTGCAAAACATGACTTGGTACTTGGTGACAAAACCCTTGTTGGCAATCACAGAGGTCAGACGTTTCTTGTAGTTGGCCACTAGGTTTGCACACATTTCAGGAGGGATTTTATCCCACTCCTCTTTGCAGATCTTCTCCAAGTCATTAAGGTTTCGAGGCTGACGTTTGGCAACTCGAACCTTAAGCTCCCTCCACAGATTTTCCATGGGATTAAGGTCTGGAGACTGGCTAGGCCACTCCAGGACCTTAATGTGCTTCTTCTTGAGCCACTCCTTTGTTACCTTGGCCATGTGTTTTGGGTCATTGTAATGCTGGAATACCCATCCACGACCCATTTTCAATGCCCTGGCTGAGGGAAGGAGGTTCTCAATCAAGATTTGACAGTACATGGCCCCGTCCATCGTCCCTTTGATGCGGTGAAGTTGTCATGTCCCCATAGCAGATAAACACCCCCAAAGCATAATGTTTCCACCTCCATGTTTGACGGTGGGGATGGTGTTCTTGGGGTCATAGGCAGCATTCCTCCTCCTCCTCCAAACACGGCGAGTTGAGTTGATGCCAAAGAGCTCCATTTTGGTCTCATCTGACCACAACACTTTCACCCAGTTGTCCTCTGAATCATTCAGATGTTCATGGCAAACTTCAGACGGGCATGTATATGTGCTTTTTTGAGCAGGGGGACCTTGCGGGCGCTGCAGGATTTCAGTCCTTTACGGCGTAGTGTGTTAGCAATTGTTTTCTTGGTGACTATGGTCCCAGCTGCCTTGAGATCATTGACAAGATCCTCCCGTGTAGTTCTGGGCTGATTCCTCACCGTTCTCATGATCATTGCAACTCCACGAGGTGAGATCTTGCATGGAGCCCCAGGCCGAGGGAGATAGTTATTTTGTGTTTCTTCCATTTGCGACTAATCGCACCAACTGTTGTTACCTTCTCACCAAGCAGCTTGGCAATGGTCTTGTAGCCCATTCCAGCCTTGTGTAGGTCTACAATCGTGTCCCTGACATCCTTGGAGAGCTCTTTGGTCTTGGCCATGGTGGAGAGTTTGGAATCTGATTGATTGATTGCTTCTGTGGACAGGTGTCTTTATACAGGTAACAAGCTGAGATTAGGAGCACTCGCTTTAAGAGTGTGCTCCTAATATCAGCTCGTTACCTGTATAAAAGACACCTGGGAGCCAGAAATCTTTCTGATTGAGAGCGGGTCAAATACTTATTTCCCTCATTAAAATGCAAATCAATTTATAACATTTTTGACGTGCGTTTTAATGGATTTTGTTGTTGTTATTCTGTCTCTCACTGTTCAAATAAACCTGCCATTAAAATTACAGACTGATCATTTCTTTGTCAGTGGGCAAACGTACAAACATCAGCAGGGGATCAAATACTTTTTTTCCCTCACTGTACGTATACGTGTACAGTATTGTACAGTATACACTTGACCTGCTGCCATATATATGTTAGCAGATCATGTTTTAGTTTGCATGCTCAACACAAAGTACCACGTGTGGTTTAATGCATTCCTATATACGTGGCTTTACCGAAAGACCCAAATAATCCTAACATCACCATCCTATTCATATTCTTGGTTCTTTCGGTAAAGTCACCACGTAGAAGGGAAACAATAAAATAATAAAATATATATAAAATAAAATTATCATGACGTTTCGACTGCAACACAAGCAATCATCATCAGGTGTGAAAACCACAGCAAGAAAATGTAAAAAAAAATGTATTCCTGTGGTTTTCACACCTGATGATGATTGCTTGTGTTGCAGTCGAAACGTCGTGAGAATTTTATTGTTTTATATTTTATTATTTTATTGTTACCCTTCTAACGTGGTGACTTTACCGAAAGAACCAAGAATGTGAATCCCTGCAGTCACGAAAGCTTTAAATCAAAATCACCATCCGCTTTCGTCCCTACGCAAGATGGCGACCGAAGTGCGTCACCGACTGTGACGTCACCAAATAAATGCGCGCGGTGGGCGCGGTGATTGTCCCCCCCACCCCACCACCCTACCCCGGGCGCGGCCGCTTCACCGCCCGAGTGTGTCCGTGCACCCGCGCGGCCACCGCCATCGTTCCGCGGGCTCGCGAAAATAAGTCCACTCCTTATCCGCCGTCAAAATCTTCTCCCGCGGACCCCACAAACCCTGCCCGCGCCCGTCAGATGTTTGCCGGAACGATCGTCGACTTCTTTTTTTATTTTATTAAAATCGAAAGTTATTTTATGTTTTACTCCAGAGGTGAGGAGATGTCGATCACCGCCACCCCCCCCACCCACCACCGCGATCGATTCTAATCGCGATTGGGGCTTAACGATAGAGATCGATTATTCGCGTCGCGAGTCCGGTCACGTCCGTGTCGCCTTTCTATCTGCTCGTCCGTCTGCCTCAGCTCGGTTGTTGTTTCCCCGCCGCCTCATCCTCCTCTTCATCATCCTCCTCTCCATCCTCTCCATCCTCATCATCCTCATCATCATCCTCCTCCTCATCATCCTCCTCATCATCCTCCTTATCATCATCCTCCTCCATCTCATCATCTCATCATCATATCATCTCATCATCATCTCATCATCATCATCTCATCATCATCTCATCATCATCATCATCCTCCTCCTCAATCCTCATCCTCCTTGACTTGACGTGAGAGGAACCGTTTCGTAAGTCGAACTTCATCGCGTGGGGGAGCGGTCGGATCGATGTGTTGGGTGGGGGTGGGGGTGCTGTCGACGCGTGATTATCGATTATCGATAACGAGGTCGATGGTGGGGAATGACTCACGGCTGTCAACCCAGACGGGTTAATCATTCCCCTTATTCTTGTAGCAGGGGCATTGCGCTTTGCAGGTCCAGACGGCGTGCAGCCGTTTCAATGCAAGCTGCGTGTTTGTGTTTCTCCCTTGCGGTGGTGGTGGTGGTGGCACTTTGCGGGATGAACGTTGAGATTTATAAGGGGCACGGGGTGACCCAATAAGCTCTGAATTTGGTCTGTGACAAGGTCGGGCACTGATCATGGGGTTGACAGCTATGGAATGAGTAGCTTTTGTTTTTTTTTTAAAGAAATAATTCGCTGGTCATGTCGCCAACCGCGTTGTGCCGCTTTAAACCCCCGCGGGTAAAGGCCCCTCCGAGCTACGTAGATATTTTTCAGAAGCGACCTGGCCACAAATGATAGCTCAACGAAGTGGCTTATCATGTTTCTTTTCAGTTTTCAGTTTCATTTATTTGGTATGGCCCCGTGAGCCATTCGGCTCTGGCGTCGGGGGCAGCCGCAGCAAACAAAAGCATTAACACGAAAACATCTTAAAGCTTAACAGAAAAATCCAGGAAAAAAAAATCAGCAAAAAATGTCAAGCGTCAGCCAAATGCGCTTCAACGCGTGGATGTTGATTCTAAATGTGGAGGGAAAAAACCGGAAGACCCCGGAGAAAAATCCCAAGCGACCGTGGAGAAAAAAAATTCAAACTTCACATATACAGCAGCAGGCGTTAAGGGTCGGGATCGAACAGCGTGACCTCCTGTATACCAGGCGAGGTCTTCAACATCTCGCCATCTACACACAACGTGGTTGGGGGCTTTTTGGTGGCTGTAAAAAAAAAATTGGCTTAGCGGATTCTTGCGTCTCGCAACCTGTCAAATCGGGATTAGCAATTAAGGACGAGGGCAGGCATCAGAATACGTGAACCCGGTCAGAAGGAGATCAGTTCAGTTTATTTCGGTTTAGCCCTGTGAGCCATTCGGCTCTTGAATCGGGTGCAACCACAACAAACAAAAAAACAAAAACACGAACAAGAAAAACATCTTAAAGTGACTATATGTGACTGTGAGATGGGGTGAACACGCGAGTTAAAATGGTGCAAGCTTGGGGGGTGGGGGATGCCTTAAGTTGGCGCACTGTCTTGTTACCACCGTTGTGTACGACTGAGTTTCGGTTTTCAATGTTTTGAAATTTCAAATCCAATTGCGGGTCTTTTATCGGATTATTTCCGTTACATTCTAATGAAAATAAAAATCTTCTTGCCAACAATAGTGACGTTGCCCAAAGCCACTTGACACCACGTGTGGCAGGACAATCGTGAAAGTGACGCCATTATTAAATTAACTGATGGTTTTTTAGATCAATACAATTTTTTTGGGGTATCATCCTAAATTTGCTGTCTGGGCCTAACTTTCGCATTTCGTGAATTAATCCAAAATTTGGGAGTATGTCCCTGCCTTGATTCACATCCATGGTGTCCCTCCAGTTCTTGGTGGTGAGATATTAACTACCTCGCCTGGTATACAGGAGGTAGTGGGTTCTATCCCGATCCTGACGCCTGCTGTATATTTGGAGTTTGTCTCTGGATCCTCTGGGTTTTCCCTCCACATTTAGAAACATGCAAGTGAGAGTCATTGGCTGCTATACATTTCCACGTGATAAGCCACTTTCTTGAGCTATCATTTGTGGCCAGGTCGCTTCTGAAAAAGAGGTAAAAGCTCAGTGGGCCTTACCTGGTCAAATAAAAATTGTAAATAGTTATTCCCATCCTGAAATAAGACCCAAATTGGACCCCAACATCTCCACACCCGGCAGTAAAAAAACGGTTACAGCACAGTTAGTCGATTGGTGTGGTTTACTCCCACCTCTGCCAACACGTCTGGCTGATATGGAAGAGTAGGCCAAATACAGTCTAGAGGGGCTCTAGAGCTTTCTCCAGTGGAGGCTTTTCTGCTGTTCGTGGCAGGAGCAAGCAATTGCATCACTTTACCTCTGTGAAGCTTTACTACAGGAGTCCCGAGAGAATGTTTCTTTGCCCTGTCACTTGATTTAGGAAGCTGGGGATATAATTACTTTAAACATATTATGTGCTGTGGTCTGTGTTCAACTAATCACCTTAGGTTTGGCATCATACTCTGGAGGTTGACTTGTCATTCCTCTGTGGTCAATGGAGTGAGCACCATTTTGTGTGGGAAGTCAACGGTGGTCATTGACTTTTCACCACTGGCTTAGGGCCTGCCGCCAGTGCCGAGAAGTGATGCAGCTCTATTGCCAAAGCAAGTGTAGGGGCTTCTGGTCTTGCAATGGAGTTTAAATCCGGTAACAGAGTTGACTCGGCCTTGTTATCACCACTGTGGGCATCATCCCTCTGGTTCGAGTAGAACGGACACCACCGAATGGATGGAATTAATGCATGGTGCTTGCGTTTAAATCAGGATAGGCTGGGATCCTTTCCAAAAAAATGTTTGCAGATCGACGTGAATATTTGACCGACGGGAGCGATTTGCCACCGGTTCTCGCATTGCAGAATGTGCGGACGAGGAGCAGCGATCGTAGCGGAGTGGCACGGGGTGGGCCCGGTGACACGGTGACGGGGGCTGACGGGGCGACGGGGGCACCCCCAGGGACAGCGGCTTGTGGTAGTGACGTTCGGGAGCGGTTTCCCGTTGCGTCTCCACAGTGCACCACCTTGAGCAACACGATGTTTGCGACCCAACAAAGAAGGAAACCTACCTTTTCAATCTTACGTTTTCGCCAAACGTCAAATATTTGGCAACCGAAAATTTAAACAAATTATTTGGCGATGCTGCCGCCACTGCTGCTGCATTGGCATCGCTGAACAAGCACAATTAAATAAACATTCAACACAGTCAATAATACTGACCGTCAAAAGAAAAAGTGTATAATCAATCTAAATTAACATTTTATTAGTTGATTTGATATCTTGCTTCTCTCCCCCTCAAATATAACATCTTGAAAGTCCCGCTCTTTAACGTTCGCGTGAATTGTGGTTTTTCTAATAATTTTTCTATCACGTTATCAAAGTGTTTGTAGATTCCTTTTGTGACTCATCTACAATCGCTATTCGAAAATGTTGAAGACATTTAACCGTTAATAAAGATGTCTAAAATTTAATAATTGCAATAATTTAAATGGCATTTGTATACAAATGCATATACAACATGTAATTGTTTTAAACAGCACGTACTTTTGATTAAATTGAAATTTTATTTGAAATATCTTGGCGTAATTTTTTTTCTTCCAGATGCAACTTTCTCAATTTCCTTTATTTGATGGAATCTTAACCCAATATTTAATCAAATTAGTTAAATTGCATTTACGATGTATCAGCCTCTTCAATGGACATACTCCATTTAAATATAATAATCAATAGCAACCCACAACAGAACACTAGCAGCAGCCACATTGGTTGCAGCGAATCCAGCAACATCACTGACAACAGCAGCAGCATTGTCAACATTGACAATTGCATCTTCGGCAGTATCGCTGCAGCATCAGCGGCGGTGAATGCAACAGAAGTGGCAGCAGCAGCACCATCCGCCGCCAATGCAACAGCAGAACTGTAACGGCAGCGATATCAGCAATTGCAGCAGCATTCGTCGTCATCATCGTCAGCATCAACAAGTCGGACCGGCATCGCAAACGGCAACAGTACTTTTAGCCACAAAAAAATATCAGTTACCGTCGACGGCATTGACCCCATTAACAAGCAGCAGCCTAATGTCCAATCGTTAACGGCAATAGAAGCGGTGACGTCAAGGGAAACGTTCGCTGCGACGTCAGCCGTACCTCCGTTGTCCTCGATGGTACGAGGGAGAGGAGCGACAACGATGTCGGGGGAGGGGGTGCGGGGGATGAGCGTGGAGATGCTCGCGTCCATGCTGGAGAGGGCGGTTCTTGGTGGCAAGGCGGACCCAAGCGGCCGCAGTTGTGGCGGCGGGGGCATCGGCGCTTGCGAATGCGGCGACGTTGGCGGCGCCGGCATCGCTGACGACAACAGTAGCGGAGTTGACTTTTTTGGTGTGGGTGGCGGCGATGAACCCATTGCTGCCTACGGCGTTTTCGGCGGTGCCGGTGGTGGCGGCGGCGGCGGCGGCGACGATCCTGCTGCTGACGGCATTGAAAGTCCCGCTGACGTTGCCGATGGTCATGCCGAACACGTTGCCAATCACGAAAATAGCGTCGCTGGAAATTGCGGCGGTGGCCCTGTCGTGCCAACCCTTCTCGTAATCGACGGGCGAACGTTCGCCGAGTTCAACAGCTGCCACGTGCGGTCGGCGCTCAACGTGTGCTGCTCCAAGCTGGTGCAGCGGCGGCTGCAGCAGGACAAGGTGTCCGTGTTGGAGCTCGTGCAGCACGCGGCAACAAGCGGGTCTCAGGTGCGCTAACGGAGCTTTCGCGCTCCCCTTGTGTTGAATAACTCTTCGTGCCTATGGATGCACGGTCGCTCTTGTCTCCTCCGAGTGCAGGGGGTCGGCAATCAGAGTAACAAGGAGAGAGACTACTTTTTTAGAATTTGGTCAAACAAGACCTCAATATTTCAAGAGCCGCAATGCAAGTGGCGAATACGAGGCGGTGTGGTGCTCAATGAATAACGACACGAAGCGGTCCTTAATGAGCCGCATGCTGCTCTGGAGCCGCAGGTTGCAGGCCCCTGCTTGGAAGTGTAAAAATACTGAATGAAGTTAAGACTTTTTTAAATGGCTGCCCGCAAGGGGGCAGCCAAAGAGCCGCAGCTTGCCGACCCCTGTCCTGGTGGGTGCGCAGAGTTGGCCGAGCGGTGTTTGTGGTCACGCAGGTGGAGGCCGGTGGGCCCGTCGTGGTGGTGGTGTACGACCAGCGCTCGCCATCCGCTGCATCGCTGCCGCCCCACGGCTTCGTGTCCGTGCTGCTGGGGAAGCTCCGTCGGACGTTCTCCGACGTCTACCTCCTCGATGGTGAGAATCCCCCTCTTCCCCCCCCCCCCACCCCCCAAATCCAATCAAACCGTTTACTGCATTCCGTACTCGTGCCATTCTAAAAGGGCAAGGCAGTCTGTGGAGTAACTCGATTTGCAATGTGGCGAAGTGCTGGTGTGATGTTGCCGTGCGATCTCATTGGGCCATTTGGAGCTGGGTCCAAAAAACACAAATGGGGGCCGGTGAGGAAGAATATGTGGGGCTGCCGAATATGGGGACTTAACGCTCACTGAGAGCGTAAATAAGCAACGAAGCGTGCACATTAGACCGGCCCACCGGCCCCTGAATGGACCGGCCCACCGGGCATTTGCTCTAAGGACTGCTGCCCTTTGGCCAGTCCGGGCCTGGCTGTGCTTCACAGGCTCAGTCTGCAGTCGCTTCACACCAAGGGCCGATGATCGTTTTGTGTTCTCACAGTTTAGTGATTTGCGGGTAATTTTTGTTAACTTTGCGGGTGGCTTTTGGGTTATTCTCTCGCTGTGTGTCCGGTTGCTTGCAAGACAAGCGCCATGAATGGGAGGCCTGGAATCGCCCACAAGGTGGCAGTCATGTCCACGTGGGCAAGTCAACAGTGGTTATCCTGTGGATTGCCTCCCTCCACCATAGGAATTAAGATTATCCATCATGAGCTCAAGGCTGTAATAAGGGTAGGGATTAGCACTACCTCAGCATTTTTGCATTGTTGAAAGCAGCATTTTGTGTGTGTGTGTCTTTGTGTATGGGGAGTGTTAGTGTAGCGGTTAGCGCGCTGCGCTACGAACCCGACGACTCGAGTTCGATTCCTGCTCACGGCCAACACCAGTGACAAATATCTGAACCGGTCCTGGGCCTCCCCTAGGTCGCCTCAGCCTCAAAGGAGTACTCGGTGCGGTGTTTAAACATCGCCACAGGGGAGACAAAGGCGGCCGGGCGTGATGTTCCCCACCCACCTCACCTTGTGTGCCGTGCCGGCCTTTGCTAACAACACTTACCCCAACAGTCTGTTAAGGCTATACGGGGGGGATCTTTGTCTTTGTTGTGCGCTGCATGCGTGCAGGTGGATTTGCTGCATTTCAGCTGCTGTTCCCGCAGCTGTGCGAGAACGCTAGCCGTGTGGACACTCGCACGCCACCTCTTGCGCTGCCCGTGTCCAGCCCTTCCCTGCATCTTCGCGACACTGGTCCTACCTGCATCTTGCCCTACCTCTACCTAGGCTCTCAGCGTGACGTCCTTAACAAGGCAAGTGGCTGCAGCCGAAGTCATGAATGTAAACGAGACAGACCTCTGGAGCACCTTGGTTAGGAATGCTGCCTTGGTGTCGGAGATATCCTGACATATTTGGTCGTTGGCTGTGTTGGGTGGAGTCGGGTTTGCGACACACATATTACTTACGCGACATGACGCATTAAATCAAATATGAATCGAAGTGTTGGTCGGGAATGCCTGCATGTTAGATAACTTATGTAAGAATATTTAGTCATACTGCAGGAATCCGATGAGCTATAAAGCTCTTTTTCATAGATATTAAGTAGGGGCACCTTGTAAGAACGTTACAACAACAAAGAGTACAAACACATGATAGTAGTTACAACAAGTACAAGAACAGTAAACAAATCACCCAAACACAACTAAAACGAAACCATCCCCATCCTACCCGGCAAAGCCCACTGAGGTATTCACTTATTTTCAGAAGCGACCTGGCCACAAATGGTAGCTCAACAAAAGTAGCCCATCATTTGGATATTTATAGCGCCAAAATAATCTAAATAATCTCAATGCATGTTTCTAAAAGCAGAGGGAAAAACGGAGGACCTGGAGAAAAAAAATCCTCGAGACCACAGGGAGAACATGCAAGCTCCAAATATGGAGCAGTTGGGGGTCGGGATCGAACCCCCGACCTCCCGCATACTGGGCGAGGTAGTTAACATCACACCACTGTTGCCCAATTGTTGACGATAAGAGTTACGCTGCATCTATCTCCCCAAAACCTGAGAGTGCACAGGGCCATATGTATTTGTGTGTGCCTTGGTATGCACACAAAGGGAAGCGGTCACTACGAACCCGGCCACCCGAGTTCAATTCCCGCCCACAGGGGACACCATTGACGAATAATCTGAACCGATGTTGGGCCTCCCCCAGATCGACTCGGCCTTAAACGAACACCTTGTGCGGTGTACCAACGTCAGCATAGTGGAGACAATGTCAGCTGTGCGTGGTCCTGGCCATCCACCTGCCTTCGTGTGGCATTCCGGTCTTAATAAGTGCTCGAAAACAGTAGCACTTTGCCCCAGCGGTCTTATAAAGGCTATACGGGGGGGGGGGGGTTCTTTGTCTTTGTGCGCAACCCCTCCCCCCCCCTGCATGCTCACCATAGGAGGTGATGCTGCAGAGCGGCATCACGCACGTGCTGAACGCGAGCGTTGGCTGCCCGCGACCGGACTTCATCCCCGAGGGGAACTTTCTGCGCGTGCCGGTGCACGACAGCTACTGCGAGAAGATCCTGCCCTGGCTCGATTGCACGGCAAACTTCATCGGTGAGCGCGTGACCCACATCTCACCTTCCCTACTAAAAAAAAAAATGACCCTTAGTGCGGCTCGGCTGGATGGCATATCTCATGCGCCACAGTGGCTAGGAGATGTTAACTACCTTGCTTGGTATACAGGAGGTTGTGGTTTCGATCCTGGCCCTGATTCCTGCTGTATATTTGGAGTTTGTGTGTCTCTCTCTCTCTCTCGTCATCATCACGGTGGCTAGGAGATGTTAACTACCTCGCCTGGTATACAGGAGGTTGTGGTTTCGATCCCGGCCCTGATGCCTGATGTATATTTGGAGTTTGCGTGTCCCTCTCATCGCGTGGTTTTTCTCTCTGGGTCCTCCAGTTCTCCCCTCCACATGTGTGCGTATAGAGTGTTTCGCTGCTATACATTTCTACATGATAAGCCACTCGGTTGGGCTATCATTATGGCCAGGTCGCTGCTGAACAAGAGCTATATAGCTCAGTGGGCCTTAACTGGTAACATAAAAATAGTTTAGATTTAGTTAAAATGTCATGGCCGTTCTGTAGGTCCCGGCTGCCTAGTGCTTTTCAGCGGTGACTCGCGTACGCACAGCCTCAATCCTAGTCGGTGTCAGAGTCTGAATCGGAATACAGTGGTACCTCGGTACACGTCGTTAATTCATTCCAGAAGGTAGGACTTATACCGAAAATTACGTATACCAAACACATTTTTCCCATAAGAAATAAAGGAAATAATCCGTGAAATGATATTTTATATGGCATATTATACATATAATGTGGTTGTATAACATAATGTAGACACTACTTATTACTAAACTGCATATGTTAAAATAAATGCATAAATACATTTCAATAAATTGAAATAAAACAAAATTTTACATCCCTTTACCTCGCTGAGAGGAGTTGATAGCACCACGAGGATGGTGGTGAGGAAGGGGAGGAGGAGGACACTGAGGAGCGGTGCTTTGTTTGAGTCGTGAACGGGGTCTACGCGGGTACGCGGTGACTCATCCCGACCCATACAAGTTCTAGCAAGCGCGTCGTATCCCAAGCAAGACGTCCTATCCCAAGACATTTTTTTCTCGTCAAAACACGACGTGTACCAAATTCGACGTATTCCAAAGCGGTCGCATACCGAGATATGACTGTATTTATTTGTACTGGAGAAATCCAACGAGCCATAAAGCTCTTTTTTTTCTGCAGACTTCCAGTAGGGGCACGGGCTCAGAGCGTTACAGCAACAAACAATACGAAAACACGCTAAGAGTGCGAAGTATACGAAATGGAAACAAATCGCTTAAAAAAATATATATATGCGTGTGCGTGTGTCTGCGTGCCTGGCTGCCCCTCCCTCCCCCCACCACACCACCCGCTGTGCGCTCTTAGAGGGCGTGCGTGCGCGCGGGAGCCGCGTGCTGGTCCACTGCCTCGCCGGGATATCGCGCTCGGCCACCGTTGCGATCGCGTACGTCATGCGCTGCAAGCGCCTCTCATCGGACGACGCCTACAGGTCCTGCCGACTCACCCGCTCGCTCCGCCCCCCTCCCACCCTCACCCCCTTCCCTACATACCCCCCTCCACTCGCTCACCAATCCGTTTATCACTCACCTGATGGCTGGCTCACTCGCCCACGCTCTTACTCGTTGATGATGAGCATCGCGTGGGTTGAAGACATGGAGGGAAAATAGGTGGGTATTGTAACTTCTCTGGCTGGTAACTTTTTGTAAGCGTTACTTTTATGCAGGCGTCGATTTTTGGTTTGTTTGCTCCGTGATATTTATCGCGACATGTTGTCTTGGGTAAAATGAGATTGGGGAAGAGCGTGGTACGTGGTTGGCAGGTTCAGGCGGCGGTTAACGGCACTAGCAACAAGTTTCAGCGGGCACCAGACATTTGCGTATGGTTATAAACAAGCAACTGTTCATCTTTGCATGGAAAAAGGAACAGGAAAGGGAATATAGAATCAGAATATTTGTTTAGACTGGAGGAATCCGATAAGCCATGAAGTTATTTTTCACAGATATCCAGTAGGGGCACGGGGTCAGAAGGTTATAACAACAAACAGTACAAAAACACGACAGGAGTGCAGAGCATAGAAAAGATAAACAAGTTACTAAATACAAATAAAAAAAAGTGTATCAGTACAAATTGTATAAGTACATCAATTCTGAGAGAGTGAAAGGGAAATAAAGAGGAAAAATTATGGATTAGGAACGGACAAAAACAGGACTGGTGGGTTAGGAGAGATGAGGATGGGGAAGACGAGGCTGGGCAAGGGCCTTGACGCTGTCTGGAGCGGCGTGTCTTCACAGGGGGTAGGGGAGAGGGGAGGGATTCAGATTAGAAGTGGCCACACACAAGTCACACGACGTACGGCGAGGCTCGAGCCAATTTAGACAAATAAATGTACGTGTAAGCATACGCCCCTCTCCATTCAGCGTATCTTGAGCGCCTTCCAGCAGCAAACTCGCTGTCCTGTTATGTTCAGTTTGGCGCAGGGAGGAAGATTCTCGGCTCGTCACACATCGAGAGGAGCTGACGCTCGGTGCTCTGTGTGTGTGTGTGTGTGTAGGTTTGTAAAGGAGAAGCGCCCATCGATTTCTCCCAACTTCAACTTCCTGGGGCAGCTGCTGGAGTACGAGCGTGAGCTGGGCACAAACCTCCACGGCCAGCAGCAGCAGCAACAGCACCAGCAGCAGCAAGTACATCAACAGCAGCAACAGCAACATTCCTCACACACATTGCACGGAACACAATTTCAGCATTATCTACAACTGCACCAGCACCAGCAGCAGCAACAGAAACTCCACGGGCAGCTGCGGCAGCAAACGTCGCTCCAGACGCAGCTGCCGCACAGCGGGCAAAGCCCATTGCCTTGTCAACAGCAGCATCAGCAGAAGTCGGACCAAGAACCACGGTCAGCAGCGTCGACTTCGACTTGGCCAGGGCAGCTCGGTCAGCGGCCGGGCACGCCGGGCGCCTCGACGGCGACGGCACGGGGGGGGCGACGCGGACGCTGCAGGCGACGGCGCCGCTCCGTGCTCACGATGCGAGTGGGGCGGGGAGGGGCAGCCAGCAGCGGCGGGGGCGGCGGCCCTCTGCCTCGACATCCACTTGCCCGTGACCCCCTCGACATTTGCGCAGCTGCAGCCGCAGAAGCGAAAGCAGCCGAAGGCGAAGCATTTCTCGCCGGTCATGGAGAACCCGGATTCGCCACTGGAGAGGACAGAGGGCGACGAGCCCGGCGCGGACACGCGCGTGAGCGCCCAGCCACTGATGAGCATGGGCACGGAAGCGCCGACGGGCGCGTGGGTGAAGAGACAAGCGGGCGCGCACGCGGATAAGTGGATGGCAGCGAACGAGCGAACGCGAGACTCCGCGGAGCCCCGGCTGCCGAGCGCCCCGATCCAGAGGAGCTGCAGCGTGGAGGACTACCTCGCCACGGGGCTGCTGCTGGGTATCACGTCCGGCGCGCACGGACAGCCGTGCCTCCACCAACATTTCCTCCAGCACCGCTACTACTACCGCCAGCTCGGCCTGTGGGCCCACGCGCCGTCCGTGCCCTCGCTGACTGGGCCGTGGGATCCCAAAGTGGAGCTTCGCCGGACGGACAAGGTGCGCATGTGTGTTAGCGCGTAGCCTTTGTAAAGAACAGTGTTGACCGCATTCCGATTCCGAACTCTGACCACAACCATAGCCTTCAATATTCTAACTAACTATTTTTATTTTACTAGGTAAGGCCCACTGAGCTATATAATACCTATTTTTCAGAAGCAACCTGGCCACAAATGATAGCTCAACGACGTGGCTTACTATCACGTGGAAATTTATGGCAGCCAAATGCGCTAAACGCGTGATGTTGATTCTAAATGTGGAGGCAAAAACTAGAGGACCTGGAGAAAAATTCACGCGACCACAGGGAGAGACACACGAAAACTCCAAATATACAGGCGTCAGGGTCGGTATCGAACCGACAACCTCCTGCATAATATAACTTGCACACCACCGATAGTTCACGTACAGACTCAAGGGTCTACTCCTCTCATCTGCTTGTGACTGACTTTCACCGTGAACCTGGTTTTTACCACACTGGTACGTGTTGTCGACCGCCTATGCATTCCAATCATTGTGCTGGGCACGGTGGCCAGGACCACTCTCAGATCATTGTTTTGGGAGGCTGGTGTTGGTGGATGGAACAGAGATTCGTGTTTGTGTCGCACACCTGCCGCTAGGAAAGAGAGAGAGAGAGATTCCTGTCAGGAGAAATGCAGCTAGTCGGCTGCTGAACTGTGTTGACTTTTGAGTGTCATCCCCTTGTACGCGTGGCTTCTCTCCGCTCAGGTTTCCTCCCACGCGTCAACGTACTCGGTAAGGGGTCGGGGAAACCTCACCGGGAGATTTTGTGAGGCCTCTTCTGTGGGTTAAACGATATTAGCAGGTCACACCCAATTGACAGGGGGGAAGTGTTTGCCCAGTGGTTAGTGCACTGGTCTAAGTGCCCAGCAATCCGAGTTTGATTCTCGGCCATGGGAAAAGATACCTAAATTGGGCCTGGGTCCCAAGTTCACCAAACCTGCACTGACCAGCATGAAGAAGCTTGGTTAAAACAACCATGATCTTCACACACACCATCGGGACAGTGGCTTGACGAAGGGGCTTAAATTATTTCGTAGTTACCTTAACCTAAACCGTAACCCCGAACACGAACCCTAACACGAATGCTTAACCATAGCCAGGGTCAAACCATGACATCTGTACCGCAACACCGCACGTCCCCTTGTCCCCTCCCCCCCCCCCCCCCCTTGCAGGCTTTGGACGGCCGCGGATCGCGCCGAAGCTGGCACGAGGAGACCCTCCTGGAGAAGCAGCGGCTTGCCCGGCGCAGCTGCCAGATGGAGTTTGAGGGCTCGGCGTGCCTCTTCCTCGCCGCCGCCTCTTCCTCGTCCTCCTCCTCCTCCTCTACCTCCGCCCCCAGCTCCACCTCGCCGCTTTCCGCGCACGACCCTATGCCCAAGCGCGCCAGCTTTTCCGGCAGCGCCGAGCTCGTCCAGGTGTCCTGAGGTTGGCGTCGGCTAAACTTTTCGTCCGCCCGTTTTCCCGCCCGTGTTGGTTCCCGATTGGCCGCGCACCGTCGATAAAATCTGCGTTTTAGCGGGATGCTTGGCCCCGATCACCCCGCCGGCCTTCAGCTTCTCCCTCCTGCAAATCCTGCTCGCGAAGTGGCGAGCGGACGGACTTGAAGCGTCCACGCGGGAGCGGCCGTCGATCAGCCTGAGAACCTCGCAGCGACGGTTGGAGAGGATCCACACGTTACCTTACTGCATTGGGGGGCTGACCATCCTTGAATTCATTTGCGTATCCCGAGATTTAATAGCTGTGCCGTGACCGCAACGGTTGCCTTTGCACAAAAAACTCTGCTTGTACGGATGGAACGTCACGGGATCGGAGATTACGTTTTTTCGGAATTAGCCACTTGCTCTGAGCATCTAGCGATCGTTTGCTTTGTCTGTTCTGCACCGTCGTTTTGCGTGCCCCTGTGGGGATGGGGGGGTGGAAAGGGGGGCGCTCTTCGGCTGTGTGCGGCTGCGTGCGGCTGCGTGTGGCTGCGTGCGGCTGCGTGTGTGGCTGTGTGTGGCTGCGTGTGGCTGCGTGTGGCTGCGTGCGGCTGCGTGTGGCTGCGTGTGGCTGCGTGTGGCTGCGTGCGGCTGCGTGTGGCTGCGTGCGGCTGCGTGCGGCTGCGTTTGCGGCTGCGTGTGGCTGCGTGTGGCTGCGTGTGGCTGTGTGTGGCTGCGTGTGGCTGCGTGTGACTGCGTGCGGCTGCGTGTGGCTGCGTGCGGCTGCGTTTGCGGCTGCGTGTGGCTGCGTGTGGCTGCGTGTGGCTGCGTGTGGCTGCGTGTGGCTGCGTGCGGCTGCGTTTGCGGCTGCGTGTGGCTGCGTGTGGCTGCGTGTGGCTGCGTGTGGCTGCGCCTGGCTGCGTGTGGCTGTGTGCAGCTGCGTGTGTGGCTGCGTTCGCTGCTCTCCTGCACTGACCTCGACCGTTGCCCGAATTTCTATGGCGGTTAAGGCTCCTCCAAGAGCCATCCCGGTGCGTCTTAACATCACTGTCACTCTCCGACCTTGATATCTCGAGTAACTTGTCCATTGACTGGGCTGTCGGTGGTTTGTTTAGCGATGCACCATTATGTGAACGTGGGCAAATAAGGCGGTGTGTGCGTGTATGCGTGTGTGTGCGAGTGTGATTGGTAGCTCTGCATCCACGTAACAGCATTTGATATGAACGGAATGTCCCGTTATTTTACGGTGAGGTTTTAGGCTGTACCATCTTTAACCTGTGTGTCTTATTAGTTGTTGGGTTTTATTTGTGTTTGCAGAGCTGCTGAATTTGCAATGCTGTAACTTTCTAAGCCCGTTTCCCCCCCTGCTATTTTGTTGTCGATAGTTTAACCATGCGAAGAAATGGGCAGTTTTAACAACTGTAGTGACATGAATATGGATGTAATTTCGGTAACCGGTATACACTTTAAATGCTGGAGATTGAGAGATATACTTGCGAGTGTGTGATGGATGTTGGGATGTGGAGCACATCTCTGGGACTTTCTCATAAAGATGCGAGTGACCCTTTTGTTTTCCGACTGCGTAATGCGACGTGGAAGATCCCTGTCACTCACCCTTCGACACTGAGATTTAAAATAAAACATGTCAACTCGCTGCGGACACGTGCAAGTCACGGTTGAGATTTTTGGATAACGTCAAAAAAGCCTGCGCGTGAAAACAATACAGTAAACCCTTGTTAATTCGACACATATGGGGCTCTGGCCTTGTCGAAATACCCAATATCCCGATTTATGTACAATGGTACTCGCCAGTGCCTCCTGCCCCAATTAAAAACAATTCTAAATTTGTTTTCCAAACGCTTCACACACCATACGCATTGACACACATCCTGCATCAATTCTATCCAACACTTTGGATTTGTCTCGCAGACTAAGGGATTTATGCTTTGGTCCCTTTCTATTACTTCTTGATATCGGTGTAGACGACATTTCTGCGAGGGTTGTTGGCTTGCACAGAGTGCGCAAGCAATGTAAAGTCCAAAGCGACGGATCTGCACCGCCACTCACCACGTGCACCCCCACTGGAGCGAGTCGTTATATTTGTCGAGGCGTACGGCGTCGCTCCACGTTCATGCCGAAATTGGAATTCGGCTCGTCGCCAATTGCTAATCCTGTACACCGAAAGCGCAGCCGTGCCTAATTATCCCCAATTACAGATGATCATACACCGAAATAACGAGGTTTTACTGTATAGATATGTTTCACCGCTGACCACTGTTTGTACCCACGGCGATGATACGCGCTTCCGCGTACGTTTACACCACAACGCATTTGTCGCGCGAGAACTTTCGTGGCGCGCGAGGGCACGTCAGGGCCCCGTGTGATGCCGCGCTGATTGGCATGGTTAAGCTATACGGGGCTCCAAGCAGCACCATCTGTCGGTGACCCCTTGGATTTAAATCAACGCGGGATGTGAGCTGATTTTTTTATTTTTTCTGCAGCGGAGATTTAATTACTGTACTGTGAAAATTGTGTCTGGACTTGTGCCCCCCCCCTCTCCCCACCCAGCCCCTGACATGCCGCACATGTCAGCGATCCAACCGATGGGTAACTTTTTTTTTAAACTTTATTAAATAATAATTAGCAATAATATTAATATAAATCCGTCAGCTGGTGTCCTTGTCATTTTTAACGGAGTAGGGAAGGGAAACTAAACTAAACTCTCTATTTTAACAGGTAAGGCCCCAATGAGCTAGAGAGCTCTTTTTCAGAAGCGACCTTGCCACAAATGATAGCTCAAAGAAGTGGCTTATCACGTGGAAATTTGGAGGGTAAACGCGGAGGCCACCGAAAAAAAATCCTCGCGACCACGGGCAGAAAGAGTGAGCAAAACTCCAACTATACAGCAGGCATCAGGGTCGGGATCGAATCCACGACCTTCTGCATACCAGGCGAGCTAATTAACATCTCACCACCGGCGTCTTTATAGCTCATCGGATTCCTCCAGTATAAATATTCTGATTCCAACACACGCACGCGCACACATAGTTCCACCGACCAGAACAACCCCCCCCCCCAAACTCCTGAGTGCGCGTGTCACCGATGCCGTTGTCAGACAATCGCCGAGATAAATGCGTGAGGAGCAGATGGTGCCCATTGTGGGTTTGGGGGGGGGGGCTGTGGGGGGCGGGGGATTGAAGTCACAATCAAGAGGCACGGCCCCAAACTTTCTCTTATTGATGCGCGAACGTTAAGGGGGGGAGGGGAGGTGGTGTTGGGAGGAGGAGAAAGGGAGAGAAAGACAGAGAGATAGGGGTGTCGAGTGATAGGAGGAGGTGGGGGGGGTGTGCAAGATGGTGACAGACAAAGGGAGCAAGGAGAGTGAAAGAGCGCACAGAGCGAGACAGAGATGGGGGAGAGGGGCTCTTATTGTGTGTAGAGGGGGGCAGGGGGGACTAAGTAATGGCACGTGAAGGCCCCTTGTCCTGCGCGCCACTAAATACCATGACGACGCATTCAGGGCACTTTTGGTTGTCGTTGTTGTTTACAGGACCATGTGTTCGCCACTGAATAGTCCTGGCACTGCGCGCACGGACGCACGCACGCGTTGTGCGTTTAAGAGTATTCGGCTGCTGCTATAAATGACCCAGAGTGTTTGCTTGTCTTGCACCAATGCTGCTGCTGCTGTTGGAATAATGCACTCCCAGAAGAAGGTCGTGCGTGTGGCTAATGGATCGTGTAAGAAATATTGCTGCTTTTTTATCGTTTTCTAATATCTCACCACGGCGGTGAGATGTTAACTACCTCGCCTGGTTTACAGGAGGTCGTGGGTTCGATCCTGACGCCTGTATATTTGGAGTTCGCGGTGTCTCTTTCCCTGTGGTCGCATGTATTTTTAATCGGGTCCTCCGGTTTTTCCCTCCACTTTTAGAATCAACGTGGGCTTGGAGTATATGGCTGCTATTACATTTCCACGTGATAAGCCACATACGGAACCATACATTGGCACTAAGACCCATAGGCTCACACTAAGACCCATAGACTCACACTGAGACCCACTGACTCACATAGAGACCCACGAACTCGCATAGAGACATATGGGCTCACATAGAGACCTACAGACTCGCACTGAGACCCACTGACTCGCATAGAGACCCACGAACTCACATAGAGACATACAGTGAGGGAAAAAAGTATTTGATCCCCTGCTGACTTTGTACGTTTGCCCACTGACGAAGAAATGATCAGTCTATAATTTTAATGGTAGGTTTATTTGAACAATGAGAGACAGAATAACAACAAAATCCAGAAAAACGTATGTCAAAAATGTTATAAATTGATTTGCATTGTAATGAGGGAAATAAGTATTTGACCCCTCTGCAAAACATGACTTAGTACTTGGTGGCAAAATCCTTGTTGGCAATCACAGAGGGCAGACGTTTCTTGAAGTTGGCCACCAGGTTTGCACACATCTCAGGAGGAATTTTGTCCCACTCCTCTTTGCAGATCTTCTCCAAGTCATTAAGGTTTTGAGGCTGACGTTTGGCAACTCGAACCTTCAGCTTCCTCCACAGATTTTCTATGGGATTAAGGTCTGGAGACTGGCTAGGCTACTCCAGGACCTTAATGTGCTTCTTCTTGAGCCACTCCTTTGTTGACTTGGCCGTGTGTTTTGGGTCATTGTCATGTTGGAATACCCATCCACGACCCATTTTCAATGCCCTGGCTGAGAGAAGGAGATTCTCACCCAAGATTTGACGGTACATGGCCCTGTCCATCGTCCCTTTGATGCGGTGAAGTTGTCCTGTCCCCTTAGCAGAAAAACACCCCCAAAGCATAATGTTTCCACCTCCATGTTTGACGGTAGGGATGGTGTTCTTGGGGTCATAGGCAGCATTCCTCCTCCTCCAAACACGGCGAGTTGAGTTGATGCCAAAGAGCTTCATTTTGGTCTCATCTGACCACAACACTTTCACCCAGTTGTCCTCTGAATCATTCAGATGTTCATTGGCAAACTTCAGACGGGCATGTATATGTGCTTTGTTGAGCAGGGGGACCTTGCGGGCGCTGCAGGATTTCAGTCCTTCACGGCGTAGTGTGTTACCAATTGTTTTCTTGGTGACTATGGTCCCAGCTGCCTTGAGATCATTGACAAGATCCTCCCGTGTAGTTCTGGGCTGATTCCTCACCGTTCTCATGATCATTGCAACTCCACGAGGTGAGATCTTGCATGGAGCCCCAGGCCGAGGGAGATTGACAGTTATTTTGTGTTTCTTCCATTTGCGAATAATCGCACCAATTGTCACCTTCTCACCAAGCTGCTTGGCAGTGGTCTTGTAGCCCATTCCAGCCTTGTGTAGGTCTACAATCTTGTCCCTGACATCCTTGGAGAGCTCTTTGGTCTTGGCCATGGTGGAGAATTTGGAATCTGATTGATTGATTGATTCTGTGGACAGGTGTCTTTTATATAGGTAACAAGCTGAGATTAGGAGCACTCCCTTTAAGAGTGTGCTCCTAATCTCAGCTCGTTACCTATATAAAAGACACCTGG